ACACTGTTCCAGAACAGTTCAACCCAAATATTCAGATGTGTGCAGCGCATTTTACGGAGGACTGTTTCCTGGGAGAGTAGACTACAATGCCGGCTGTTCTGACAAATAATGCTGACTCACAGACTGTAAGTACGTTTTGATAAAGGATTTGCCACTGATGATTCAAACGCGAGTTCTGAGCAGTGTAGAGTAGCGCTTGTTGTTTGTCATTTCTCCAATCACAAATGCAGACATGGTTTTATGTTTACGCTGCTCTTAAAAACACAGTATAAGTCATTATAATCCATAATTATGTCCCCACTGGATGCAATAAATGCCTCGGTTATAATGGGTTTTATTGGCTTTGTCTCGTTGCTCCGGGACACGGCATCACTGTATGGTAAGGGGCGTAACATTTCCGTCACACGCTTGAGGTATTCGGCCAATCACAATGCACTAGATAGCTGGCCAATCAGAACACACCTCGCTTTTCAGAACGATGAGCTTTGTAAAAATCAATGTGTTTCAGAAAGGCGGGGCATAGAGGAGAAACAATAATGTACAGTATGTGGAAAAATAATGTGTTTTTTTAACCTTAAACCGCATAAACACATTTCATTACACTAAATACACAAAATAATGTTCTTTTTAGCAACATCATATGACCCCTTTAAATTCTCAAAAATGTTCTTCTGGGGGGATGCCCCCAGACCACTCTATATTATTTATATTCCTAACTGTCACCTTTTTGACCTCTTGTGAGTTTGCAGGTATGTTTAATTATTTTATGCACCAGTCAAGCACTTATTTTTATAATAACTTATGATCAATCTAAATAATTAACTTGCATTTTTTTTTTCCAGAATTATTTTAGTTTAGTGATTACACAAATGAATTTTGAATAGATCTGAAATTAACACTTCAGTCTAATTCAGAACTGAATTTAACTCTGAAGCTACTTTTGATTCTGAAGTTCAAATCAGAGATGTTCAAAATCACCTGTCTTTAGACTCTCATAAGTAACACGACAGACAGACTGCAGATAATTAGTCTAACGATGACCTTCAGGGAACGTAAGACTCGGACAGGGTTCTATGGTGCACACCCAAGTTCGGAAAATGGCTTGCACATCAACAAGCAACTCTAGTGTGAAAAAAAACCTTGAGAAGTTCAGCAATGCACACAAGACTTTAAGCTCTATTTTAAAGCCGCCCACTCATTGTGTGTCTCTCCGTCTCCCCAGGGCAACAACGATGATGTCATCCTGTCCTGCTGTCTGCACTACTGTCAGGACAAAGCCAAGGACTTCATGCCTGCTGAGAGAAGTCAGTTCACTTACTTTTACTTGTTAGGGGCAATTCAAACGGGGTGCACTTTTGCATTACATCTGAATTTGTTTTTAATTATCAATCCATTTTCACAGTTTTACGGCATCTGACTTTGATCGCTATGTTTTTAAAGAAAAAGTTAATGCAAAAAATGAAACTCAGGTCATCCAAGATGTAGATGAGTTTAGGGCTGCAAAACGATTAATCACGATTAATCGCGTTCAAAATAAAAGTTTAAAAATGTAAAAGTAAAAACATGTATGTGTGTGTATTTATATATACATAATAAATATCCACGGTACACACACACATATAGTATGTAAACATGAACTTTTATTTTGAATGCGATTAATCGTTTTGCAGCCCTAGATGAGTTTGTTTCGTCATCATTTTGTATTCTCCAGATGGGCTGGTGAGGTTACGCAGGGAGGTGGTCTTGCTCACGGATGACCGCAATCTGCGAGTCAAAGCTCTCACACGCAACGTACCAGTCCGGGACATCCCAGCATTCCTGATCTGGGCTAAAGTAGGCTGAAGCACAGAACTGACCTACCGCTGTACAAACCAACCATCCTCCACTGCAAAAGTTGGGAGGAGATGAAGAAATTGGTCATGGTTTTAATGCTACAAAATATCCTCCCCTTTCTGTTATGTGGTAAGAAACAGCAGCATCTGAATTATTTACCTCTGATTACACTTCTTACTAATTTGTTTTTGTTGTGGATTTAATTAAAACTAATTTCTGAGTTAATCACTTGTGCTGTTTGGCCTGTGCTTCGGTTTGAATTTTAGATGTCACTGTTTTATACTGATTACAGGTTTAATGTCACTGCATTGGAGCAGTTTAACCCCATAACTGGAGTGCTCATTAAAGATCAGTGTCGCAGCTTCATCTGATGTCATTGGCGATCAAAGATCAGCACTGACAACTTTGACTCATTCACACATTCAAAGGTTGGTTGGCTGGTTTCAAATATGACAAAAAGGCTTAATTGATTTTTTTCACCAAGCAATGCACTAGGATTTTTTTTTCTCCTCTTAAAGGAAGTGAGCATTTATGTAACCATTTTAGGTCAAAGGTTTTGATGTAAATCTGAAATGGCTACCAGACCAAAGGCTAACAACTAAATACCCTGCATTTGCAGGACTGTAAATGAGGTAACTTCTGAGTTTATTAAATTAGTTCAACCTAAAAATAAAATTGTCCTATTTTTTCTTACCCAAAACTATTTCCATTATTCCTTTCTCAAACTCAATCACATGCCCTCATAGTGCTGACTTTTTTTTAATTAAATAATTCTATAATGCATACATTGAATACTTGTTAAATCTGCAAAGTGCACACATTAAATTCAATTAGACATGGAGAATCTGTGCAAACTGTTCAGACTTCAGAAACATCTTCAAATATAACATCATGAACCAAACTGGCCTGCAGGGTAAGTACAAAAAAAGCTGAAAATTCTGTACAATTTAAAGAACAAAAATCAAAAAAAGAAAATGGTCCTATACATGTTTGGTATTCAAATTCCAGTAATATATTACATAGTCATGAGGGAGTAAGTGATTGATTAGTGAGTTCCTTGATATTAAAATGATTATATTTGGCATAATCTCCGTCCTTGCTTGTAAAACTGTTCATAAAGACAATCATGACCTCAGATGAATAGCATGTGACTTCCAGCAGATGCAGCAGCCTATCAGGGATTATTTTTACACGCATGATAGATTTCAGTTGCTATAATTAGGTCAGCTCAAGTCCAGCTATAGAGAGGTCACAACTAAAGCAGTAAATCATCGGCCCTTCAATACTTTTCACATTAACATGCAATAACATAAATAGAAAATTCTATAAAACTATAATTAAAAAACAAAACCTGATTCAATGACTTTCATGAGCATCAACTCTGAAATGAGTTTTAGAGACAGTCTTAAACATATTAACACGCATTTCTCTGCGTGAGCAAGATATGAATGTATTTCAGTCACACAAGAGCTTCCTTATGAGGTCAGAGTCCTCCAGTGCAGTTGTAAACAGACCTCGCTGTACATCAACATGTGGAATAAAAACCTCAGCTGTCTTCAAACTTAAACTGAAGGTGGCAAAAGTCTAACATCTTGGCCTGAGTTCCTTCTGTAATAAACAACTGAGCTGCGTGTGCTACACAACCTGGAAATCTTAAGTGTGCTTACTCTCACGATTCACCATCTGCTGCAAAATGTAACCCTCATTTGAAGGCACAAAGCTGATAGTATAATGCTAAGGGGCATGAGGTTTGGAAAAAATTTAATAATTTAAATGCAGCGAAAAAAATGTGTTAATAAATGGGTAGATGTGTCAAAGTTGCTGGATATCACTGAATACTAAATAGAGTTTTCCACAAATAGAGTACATTAACGTAAAAATCTAGAGTGATAAAGTATTAAATACCTCAGTGCACTTTCTTCTGAACAAAATATTTGAGAAACTCCTAATAGCTGAGGTTGAAGCTGCTGTGCAGTGAAATGTAACTTAACATCACATTCTAATCAAATTCTGCAATACACTTTTCATGTTCATTCAGATCCGTAAACATGTCCACGCCCTCCTAAAACGCCTCGTTTAAACACGCCCCCACATGTCTACGTCACGACGTGGGAAGATTTGCATAATGCCGCCCAAATGTTCACGCAATGAAAGAAGGCGTAACTTTATTGTTAATGCCACTGCCATGTTGTGAAGATGCTGTGTCTCGTTGTGAAAGCGAAAATACTTTGTTTGGTCTTCCAAAAGAGGACGCGACTAGAAATCAGTGGTTAAGTTGTATTTACAACACTGTTCCAGAACAGTTCAACCCAAATATTCAGATGTGTGCAGCGCATTTTACGGAGGACTGTTTCCTGGGAGAGTAGACTACAATGCCGGCTGTTCTGACAAATAATGCTGACTCACAGACTGTAAGTACGTTTTGATAAAGGATTTGCCACTGATGATTCAAACGCGAGTTCTGAGCAGTGTAGAGTAGCGCTTGTTGTTTGTCATTTCTCCAATCACAAATGCAGACATGGTTTTATGTTTACGCTGCTCTTAAAAACACAGTATAAGTCATTATAATCCATAATTATGTCCCCACTGGATGCAATAAATGCCTCGGTTATAATGGGTTTTATTGGCTTTGTCTCGTTGCTCCGGGACACGGCATCACTGTATGGTAAGGGGCGTAACATTTCCGTCACACGCTTGAGGTATTCGGCCAATCACAATGCACTAGATAGCTGGCCAATCAGAACACACCTCGCTTTTCAGAACGATGAGCTTTGTAAAAATCAATGTGTTTCAGAAAGGCGGGGCATAGAGGAGAAACAATAATGTACAGTATGTGGAAAAATAATGTGTTTTTTTAACCTTAAACCGCATAAACACATTTCATTACACTAAATACACAAAATAATGTTCTTTTTAGCAACATCATATGACCCCTTTAAATTCTCAAAAATGTTCTTCTGGGGGGATGCCCCCAGACCACTCTATATTATTTATATTCCTAACTGTCACCTTTTTGACCTCTTGTGAGTTTGCAGGTATGTTTAATTATTTTATGCACCAGTCAAGCACTTATTTTTATAATAACTTATGATCAATCTAAATAATTAACTTGCATTTTTTTTTTCCAGAATTATTTTAGTTTAGTGATTACACAAATGAATTTTGAATAGATCTGAAATTAACACTTCAGTCTAATTCAGAACTGAATTTAACTCTGAAGCTACTTTTGATTCTGAAGTTCAAATCAGAGATGTTCAAAATCACCTGTCTTTAGACTCTCATAAGTAACACGACAGACAGACTGCAGATAATTAGTCTAACGATGACCTTCAGGGAACGTAAGACTCGGACAGGGTTCTATGGTGCACACCCAAGTTCGGAAAATGGCTTGCACATCAACAAGCAACTCTAGTGTGAAAAAAAACCTTGAGAAGTTCAGCAATGCACACAAGACTTTAAGCTCTATTTTAAAGCCGCCCACTCATTGTGTGTCTCTCCGTCTCCCCAGGGCAACAACGATGATGTCATCCTGTCCTGCTGTCTGCACTACTGTCAGGACAAAGCCAAGGACTTCATGCCTGCTGAGAGAAGTCAGTTCACTTACTTTTACTTGTTAGGGGCAATTCAAACGGGGTGCACTTTTGCATTACATCTGAATTTGTTTTTAATTATCAATCCATTTTCACAGTTTTACGGCATCTGACTTTGATCGCTATGTTTTTAAAGAAAAAGTTAATGCAAAAAATGAAACTCAGGTCATCCAAGATGTAGATGAGTTTAGGGCTGCAAAACGATTAATCACGATTAATCGCGTTCAAAATAAAAGTTTAAAAATGTAAAAGTAAAAACATGTATGTGTGTGTATTTATATATACATAATAAATATCCACGGTACACACACACATATAGTATGTAAACATGAACTTTTATTTTGAATGCGATTAATCGTTTTGCAGCCCTAGATGAGTTTGTTTCGTCATCATTTTGTATTCTCCAGATGGGCTGGTGAGGTTACGCAGGGAGGTGGTCTTGCTCACGGATGACCGCAATCTGCGAGTCAAAGCTCTCACACGCAACGTACCAGTCCGGGACATCCCAGCATTCCTGATCTGGGCTAAAGTAGGCTGAAGCACAGAACTGACCTACCGCTGTACAAACCAATCATCCTCCACTGCAAAAGTTGGGAGGAGATGAAGAAATTGTCACACAGAGAGGATGAATATTAAGGGGAGAAATACTACAAGCTTTTTGTCAAACCGACAAAAAAAGAGCGAAGTGACACATCAAGCCACTTTACAAGAAAGAAATGAGGATTTTCCCCTTACAACGCAGTGTGCATAGACAACCGCTTACTTCTGAGGGTGAGATAGACATGATTGGAGGGGGTTGACACCAGCTTAGCTGATTTGGGGGTTGATTAAAAGCCCGGATGAAGAGGAAGCGCGTGGAGTGTACGTGTGTGAGCGAGAGAGTGTCAGCTTGTAGTGTGTGTGTGAAGTCACACGTGCTGCGGATGAGCTCATTCCAGCGCTCTCAAAGGGCCTGTGATTAGGCGAGAGCTCCAGTAGGGGGCGGCGTGAGGCGGTCTCATGTTCTACTTTAGCGGCCCATGAGGCCCTGATTGTGTTTTTATCGCCTCGAAGCATGATTGTTTTAAAGCTCTTATGATTTTTACCTGCTTATTTAAGTTTGCATTGCATTTTTGACTTCAGTTTGGACTGTCGGGTTCTTGTTTTCATTTAGGTCACGTGGTTTAGTTGTAACACCCTCATAACTATCTGATCTTCTGTAGTAGCATCTTTAGAAGTATGTGAATCCAAGTCAGAATATAAGATTGTAACATCTGAGTGTCGAGTGAATACTGGAGTAATGAATCTGTTATCACAGTAGTTTTAATACAGACTAAAATGAGTTTATCTGTCTCTGAACGGAAATCTGCATTTTTGAGGTCTAGCTAACAGAAAAGTTCTAGTTTCCTTTCCCCCCCAAAACCATCAAGAAAACGAATGCATCTCATTCATACTTTAGAGTCTTGGAAATGTTTTCAGATGTTCTGTGCAAGTTATTTTCATGTCTGTATTAAGTCGAGTGGTTTGTCTTTGTCTTGTATTTTTTCCATTTCCAAAGCTTAAGTATTGTAGTTCTCGGTATGTCATCTTGTTACAGTCTTGTCATTGTTTTAATGCTACAAAATATCCTCCCCTTTCTGTTATGTGGTAAGAAACAGCAGCATCGGAATTATTCACCTCTGATTACACTTCTTACTAATTTGTTTTTGTTGTGGATTTAATTAAAACTAATTTCTGAGTTAATCACTTGTGCTGTTTGGCCTGTGCTTCGGTTTGAATTTTAGATGTCACTGTTTTATACTGATTACAGGTTTAATGTCACTGCATTGGAGCAGTTTAACCCCATAATTGGAGTGCTCATTAAAGATCAGTGTCGCAGCTTCATCTGATGTCATTGGCGATCAAAGATCAGCACTGACAACTTTGACTCATTCACACATTCAAAGGTTGGTTGGCTGGTTTCAAATATGACAAAAAGGCTTAATTGATTTTTTTCACCAAGCAATGCACTAGGATTTTTTTTTTCTTCTCTTAAAGGAAGTGAGCATTTATGTAACCATTTTAGGTCAAAGGTTTTGATGTAAATCTGAAATGGCTACCAGACCAAAGGCTAACAACTAAATACCCTGCATTTGCAGGACTGTAAATGAGGTAACTTCTGAGTTTATTAAATTAGTTCAACCTAAAAATAAAATTGTCCTATTTTTTCTTACCCAAAACTATTTCCATTATTCCTTTCTCAAACTCAATCACATGCCCTCATAGTGCTGACTTTTTTTTTATTAAATAATTCTATAATGCATACATTGAATACTTGTTAAATCTGCAAAGTGCACACATTAAATTCAATTAGACATGGAGAATCTGTGCAAACTGTTCAGACTTCAGAAACATCTTCAAATATAACATCATGAACCAAACTGGCCTGCAGGGTAAGTACAAAAAAAGCTGAAAATTCTGTACAATTTAAAGAACAAAAATCAAAAAAAGAAAATGGTCCTATACATGTTTGGTATTCAAATTCCAGTAATATATTACATAGTCATGAGGGAGTAAGTGATTGATTAGTGAGTTCCTTGATATTAAAATGATTATATTTGGCATAATCTCCGTCCTTGCTTGTAAAACTGTTCATAAAGACAATCATGACCTCAGATGAATAGCATGTGACTTCCAGCAGATGCAGCAGCCTATCAGGGATTATTTTTACACGCATGATAGATTTCAGTTGCTATAATTAGGTCAGCTCAAGTCCAGCTATAGAGAGGTCACAACTAAAGCAGTAAATCATCGGCCCTTCAATACTTTTCACATTAACATGCAATAACATAAATAGAAAATTCTATAAAACTATAATTAAAAAACAAAACCTGATTCAATGACTTTCATGAGCATCAACTCTGAAATGAGTTTTAGAGACAGTCTTAAACATATTAACACGCATTTCTCTGCGTGAGCAAGATATGAATGTATTTCAGTCACACAAGAGCTTCCTTATGAGGTCAGAGTCCTCCAGTGCAGTTGTAAACAGACCTCGCTGTACATCAACATGTGGAATAAAAACCTCAGCTGTCTTCAAACTTAAACTGAAGGTGGCAAAAGTCTAACATCTTGGCCTGAGTTCCTTCTGTAATAAACAACTGAGCTGCGTGTGCTACACAACCTGGAAATCTTAAGTGTGCTTACTCTCACGATTCACCATCTGCTGCAAAATGTAACCCTCATTTGAAGGCACAAAGCTGATAGTATAATGCTAAGGGGCATGAGGTTTGGAAAAAATTTAATAATTTAAATGCAGCGAAAAAAATGTGTTAATAAATGGGTAGATGTGTCAAAGTTGCTGGATATCACTGAATACTAAATAGAGTTTTCCACAAATAGAGTACATTAACGTAAAGATCTAGAGTGATAAAGTATTAAATACCTCAGTGCACTTTCTTCTGAACAAAATATTTGAGAAACTCCTAATAGCTGAGGTTGAAGCTGCTGTGCAGTGAAATGTAACTTAACATCACATTCTAATCAAATTCTGCAATACACTTTTCATGTTCATTCAGATCCGTAAACATCAGCATTCCACTCAAATCCTTGGTGACAAAAGTGCATCTTGGGTAGCAACACCTGCCTGACTTTTTTGGTCTACAAAAAGGAAGTCGTCCCAGAGATAATCCAGTATAAATACATTATACATTGGACAGAGCATCCTGAAGGTCATTTTAGGGTATTTTGGCATGTAAATGTGCATGTTTGGAGAAAAGAAAGTGTGTTAGTCACAACATCATAAACCCCAGTGAAAGAGCTGTCGAGTTGAGTGGATGTTTGGTGTGAAGAGCTTGGGAGTCTGTGGATATGAGTGCAGGGAGGCACATCCACCACACCGACGCGCTGCAGGTCGTTTCCATATGAGAGAAAGCTGCTGCTAACCTTAAGGCATGATATCTGAGGACTGTGTGCTCTTTCACATGAGGTCTTATGATAACAGTACTCTTCAGAGAGGAAAACATCCTGGGGCCATTCCAAAGTCCTGTAAGCAAAGAGAAAACTTAAGTAAACAACTTTTGTGCACCGATAACTAGAATTTTAATTGCTAAAATGACTAGTTGAACTAATCTTTCAGAAAAGAGAAGTCCATACAGCAACTGTGATGATGATGACAGCGAGGAAGGATATAGTTGAAATCACTTTCAGAATGATTTTTTTTTTAGCTGATGAACA